AACAGGTCCCGAACAAGTATTAAAGTATGGTACTCCGATGCCCAGAAGCAACCCAGCTCTGATCCTCAATGCCTCTAACATTATAGAACCCTGAAAGCAGCACCATTTATCTAAGTGAGCTCTGGCTTGTGCCCGAGCCCGCCGCGCGAGCCGGGTGCCACAATGGTGCTGGTGGTCCTTCAGAGGCTGGAGGGTTGGGCTTAATATAGGGGCCTTCATCGTTAGAATAGGGTTCTGGGGCCCATTATACTAGAAAACTAACGAGGAACCACCCCAAAACACTTGGTAATTATTCAGGCCCAACAGGATAGGATCTAAGGCTTTGCTGTTGACAGGAAGGGAGGTTTATCAGGCTGTAGGTTTAGGGTTCAGGGGTTTAAGATTTGCTGCAACGGGACTCTAAGGCAAGCTTGTCATCAGGGCTCAAGCGGCTCAAGGCCCCTGGTATCAAAGCCTGATGAAATCACGACATCGGATGGTGGCAACAGACAAAGCTGTTTGGCTGTAGCACGAGGGTCTGTATACCTTCAGGCTTTCGGGGCGTATTGTAGTATACTGACTAGACGGGCGATTAGGAGATGTTGTCACTGATTAGTCCGAGCCCTACATGACCTTAAACCTTCAACTTCACTAAACCCAAATCCACTACACGACGTTTACTTAAACATTCAACTTACCTAAACTCAAATCCCCTACACGACGTTTACTTAAACCTTCAACTTACCTAAACCCAAATCCCCTACATGACCTTAAACCTTCAACTTACTTAAACCCAAATCCCCTGCACGACCTCAAACCTTCAACTGACCTAAACCCAAATCCCATAGAACCTTCGTAGAACCCTTCTCAAACCCTGCAAAGCTAAGAAGGCATGGAGGCTGGGACGTTCATGAGCCCCTACTTGGAGGGTCGGGGGACTTAGTAACCTGGTTATTTTAAGGACTTATAAGTACCATAACCCTAATCAGGGTCCCTTTTAGGGTACTTATAAGTCTACTTACTACCTACTTACCAAGTCCCCCGACCCTCCAAGTATGCCCTAAGCCCTAAACCCTTTTCGGCGTCCCAAAGCAAGGCCCAAGGCCTTGAACCAAGTGCCCAGAGACTCCACTATACCTTAACGAAAGAATATTCTTTAAATCAAAAAATGGATCCTACTATATTTTAAGGGTTTAGGGTTTAGGGATCAAATTATGGATCCTACTATATTTTAAGTGTATACTCCTGAAATAATGGGTATTGGAGTCTCTGGGCACTTGGCAATGCTCGAGCCTAGAGGGAAAATCCGAAACCCATGTCGGAAACAAGGATTACTCGGGCATCCCAGGAAGAATCTTCCAGGCCTCCCTACGGGCTCCTTGGAACAAGGTATAGGGTTTAGGGTTTAGGGTTTAGGATATCAGCATGTAATTTCTTACTGTTTACCCTAGACCCTACATCAACCCAACTCTCTCTACTTGCAGGTTCATGGGCAGGTGTCAGCACGGGTTATAGACCCCTCGGTCATTGCCGGCTATAACCTTCGGTAACCAACTTACAAACCCACTTATAACAACGCTGAGCCCTAAACCCATGAACCTCCAAATAACGCTATTCATTCAGATACCACCAAATTAGTCCTCCTCCCGCCGAGGCTACCCAGCAAGGCAAGCGTTTCGAAAAAAGCCTCCGTGCAGCTTTGTATGACTTGCAGTGACTCCCAGAAAACTGTATGTTAACGTATATTGTATTGTAGTATCTTAGAGTATTGTTTATCGTCTGTTTTAATATATTATGGCACAGTGACTCCCGGAAAGTTGGAACGTGGATTTAAGACCATTTAGGATGACTGCTGAGATTCCTTTCGTTGTGCCTCCAGGGCATGAGGATGTTCCAGCTGTGTGGATGTCCACTTGGGGCTCATTGTGTTGTATCTTTCGGGTAATGCCCTTGTAGCGACACAGCCTATAGTAAGGCTAGTATTCAAAAACATACCTGCACATATTATAGCAGTATTCACCCTGCTACTCAGTGGTGGCAGTATCCACTGCATCTGCAGAATGAACCCTGAACCCTAAACCGAATGATATGGTTTTGGGTCCCCTGATATAGTACGGCACCTAATATTTACGGTACCCCAAAAGGGACCACAATTTTGGCAACCATCCATATGAAGCGCAGTGAAGAGCTTGGTCGGGGCTTTGTGCCAGGGGATGTCGACTCGGTGGTTTCCAGGTTTGGGGGTTGGGGGGGTCCCGAAACCATCATAGTATATAATATACACAAATGACACTATACTGTACTCTATCATACCGTATCCCACTAAATAAATAAAGAGATATTGGTATACCCCCTTTTATCGTATCATGTGGCTTTAGATTGTCTAATAATGTTACATTTGACTGCGCTATTTTCATGCCTCTGCTCGTTTGCTCCCATTTCTCGGCCAGCCCCCCGGCAGATCTCGGGCCCTTCTACCAAAGGTTTGTATGAAGGTTCCTTGATGGGAGGCGAGAAGGGGTGTTTAAGATTCTTGGGGTAGGAATTCCTGAATAATTATGAAGCCTGTTATGGGAACCCGAATCCCTACTAAACCCCCATAGGCTAAAACCCCTTTTGGCCTCCTATGGTTCCTCTATGAATAACCCCAAGGTGGTCTCACACGCATCCCAGCTCGCGGCAGAGCCTGCAAGCTGCACATCAGGCCCACCATCAGTAGGCAGTACCTGACGCTATCCCCACATCTGCAACCAACTCAGAACGTAATGCACAGTGGAGAACTTGAGCGCTTAGAAGCACAGCCGCCGGCCGATCCCAAAAGACAAACCATGCCCACCCCCCCATGAGGGCTGCAATCTCCGAGATCGTGGCATGCTCATGTTCTTGCAGCTGTCCTTCACCTCGGAATTGTCTGTGCTCTACAGAGATGCGGTTACACTGAACTTGTGTGAAGTGCGAATCTGCTGGACTAGACCTAACAGTAACCTGGGAATAAAAAGGGTGCCCTTTTTGGCTTAAAGGGGGTTATAAGGGAACCTGAACCCTTAAAAGGGAAAAAGGGCCTACTCTAGGTCCTAGTAGATGGACATGCTGGCCCGGCCACCAAATAGCCGAAAGCAGGCCCTCTCCACATCAGGGCAGGGGACCCTAAACTCCTATAGCCTAAAACCCCGAAATATAGGGTTCAGGGTTGAGGATTGATAAGGTTTAGGGTACGCAGTTTTAAACATTCTCCTTAATCAGTAGTACACCCAAACCCCTAAACACCAAACTCCTACGCCCAGAGAAACTCCCACACCCCTGAGCCCCTCAACACCTAAACGCTGAAGCGAATCTCATTCTGGGCTCTGAAGTAACCAGAGAGCCCAATAGGCCTTAATTAAGGAATATAGCTTAAATCATAATATGAGTCCCCTTATAGTTTACAGTATATTCCTTAATTAAGGGGTTTTGGGCTCTCTGGGTAACCAGGGAGAAAACTGCGTTTTGTAGAAGCCAGAAAGTTGGAACATCAATACCCTCATGCCCTTAAAGTAATGTATAGGGAATCCCGGCACTAATCACCCTCAATCCATGTTCCAACTTTCTGGGCCCACTATAGACTCTTTGTGCATAGTGGGTCCTTTCAGGAACAGGTCCAACAAAAGAGCAATAAAGTATGGTACTCAGAAACCCAGCATTGCAATGCCGCGACCTTCGGTTCCCTGGTATTGGCTTTGCTGGCGTCGCTCCCGCGACCCGAGCAGCTTTGATAATTCTTGGATGCCCGGCGAGGAAGATGGTGATGCCTGCAAAGGGTCTTACATGGCTTGAAGGTTTTGAAAGTTCTGAAGTGGTTACACTTGGAAGGATAAAGGTTCCATACGGTTGGTGATATAAACCCTGCACTACCCATAATAAGAAATATACCATGATTCCCGTAGTTTAAGGTCCTTAAGGTACTGCAGGGTTTATATCATCAACCAGTTGATGATATAAAACGTGCATTACCTTAAGGACCCTAACGTATGGGAATTATGGTATATTCCTTTCTATGGGTACTGCAGGATTTATATCATCAACCGTACTTCTTTGGATTTTTGATGGTATCCAGCGAGGACTCGGAGCCTACGGTTGGAGATTTGCCAGTGAACGGTCTGTCTGAAGCTGTGGGGGCGGATCGGAATAGGGTTTAGGGCTTAGGGTTTGGGGTTTTTTTTAGGAGTGCCAAGCGCTGCCGACTGTCTTTCTGTACAACTGGAAAATATGCGAAGCGCGGGTTTGGGGTTTAGGGCTTAGGGTTTAGGGTCGGCGGATCATCATGCTTGATGCTGGTAGGTCAATTAGAAGTTAATAAAGCACCAGACAAGTTTGAATCGCAGCTCATGCTTGAAACCCTAAACCCTAAATCGCCAGCTGCCAGAAGAACCCTTCAGAAGCTGACTGGTCCTGACGCTCTTCAGCTGAAACCTGGCATCGCTCTCGAAAAGATGCAGACCGGCTGTCCTCTCCAGACAGACCCCTGAATTAAGGCATATAGCTTAAATCACAATTTGAACCCCTTTTGATTTCAGGTATATTCCTTAATTAAGGAACATACCTTAAACCATCAGCAGGCAGATTCTTATTATGATGCTATATTCCTTAATTAAAGAGTATTGGGCTCTCTGGGTCTTCTGTTAGCAGGCGTAGGGCCCTGCAGGCGCAGGGCCCTTTTCGACACCGACGCGACGACTCGTCCAGGTGAGACGTCCTACTTGGAGGTTCATGGGTAGCTAGAGGTGTGGTTATAAGTCCCTGAATATGGGTTATAACTGTCGTTATCCACTTATAACCCTACTCATAACTAACCATGAACCTCCAAGTACTGCGCCAAGTGCCAAGCATCCGGAAAGTAGGATGTTTGACGCATGCCACGCTATGCTACGCGGAGCCGAATACAAAGGTCTGCAAAGACCAGCCCTGGTTCGCACAGAACTAGAACAACCGAGCTCTTGACTTTCTGGCTGAAATCCCGAACTCCGTCCAAATCCACGCGGCTGTCATGGCCCCAGGAAAACCTCCAGCCGCCCACTGCAGTCGATCACCGCCTAAGTGCGCCGTGTGCATGCTGGGTGTGTCGCTGGCATAATATTGCGGCCTGAACAGCTAGAACAGGATTTTGTGGGGTACAGTGGTACAGTATTCAGGCTTCTCTGTTACTTTGTGAAGGGCCAGAAAGCAAGAGCGAGCGTTCGAGCCAAGAAACACGACAAAGTGTCAGAATGACACTGCTCATCGAACTGCGGCTGGCACACAAGACCCCCAAAACGAAAGCGGGCCCGCAAATCGTGCTTCCTGTCGTGAAGGGTCTTCTTTACTCCGATTTGTTCCAGGGATTGCTAGTCAACAGCAAAGCTTGACATCGATATGGTTGGTCAAACCTTCAATGTGAATGCTAACACTGCTGCTGTTCGAATTTCCATGACGACTGTGTGCATTACTGACAGTTACAGCTACTGTCGCTTGTGTTGCTTCTAGCACCCTTGGGCTATTTCCCATGATTGATGTGAGTATTTCGCTCCGTAAGCCCTAACCCGAAACCACACACATCCCCGAAATGCCAAGCCCGAAAATCCTAAACCCCAGCCCCTGAATCTCGAAACCCTAAACCCAAACGTGAAGATGAAAGCGCGAACCTGAAACCCCGAAACCCCGAGCCCGATTCGCGAAAGAACCTAAAGCCCTCATCTTGCTGATTCTCAACGATGGTACACACAGCCTGAGCAACCCTATGGAATGCATTCAGACCACATACGAAGGCTTTTTCAGGCCTGCAGAAAGCACCAGGAAAACACGAGGAAACCGTGTAAAACCTACATACACCCTTAACCCTAACCCCAAAGCCCCCAAGCCCTATACCCCCCAAATCCTAAACCACTAAATACCCTAAACCCTAAACCCCTAAACCACTAAATGCCCTTGGACGCCGAGCGGCGAAGAGCCCAGGAGCCATGGCTGGGGAGGCCTGGAAACCGGCGCCCACCAGGCGCTCCTGTCTATAGTCTATAGGGGCCTGAATAATTAACCTGAGTTGTCCTTTAAGCCCTCTGAAAATTATCTACTATTATGGTTCTCTACAAAGTAGTAGCGGAAATTAAAAAAGATCCCAAAGGACAACTCAGTAATAGTACTATCTTGTGGCTCCGCATCATAGTTCTAGTATAAGTATACTTGGAGGTTCATGGGTAGTTATAAGTGGGGTTATAAGTCCCCTCACAAGGGTTATAAGTATAAACCTTATTTATAACCGTACTTATAACTACCCATGAACCTCCAGGTAAGTAATGTACCCCAAGAACCTATTCCAAGTACCAAGGCCCCGACGTTCGGCGTTTTGAAAGGGTGTTCAACAAATTCTACGGGGTTCGCCAGGATTTTACAAGGCATTTATGGGATTTCCACTCCGGGTTTATGAGGATGACTTGCAGGTTTATCTATGGGGTCGCTAAGCTTTAACTCCCATTTCTCGCACCTCTGTCAAGGCTTGACAAACCCTAGACCCAAGAGTAAACTAGGAATGAAAAGGGTGCCCTTTGTGGTTTAAAGGGGCTTATAAGGGAACCTGAACCCTAAAAAAGGGAATAAGGGCCTACTCTGGGTCCAAGCTTATGATACCATAATTATAATAAGGAACCCCAAAATAGTACAGGTAATTATTTTAAGCCCCTATATTACCCTCCACCCCTAAGATCTGGGAGCTGGAGAGACTGGAGGGCTCATTTCAGGTCTGAGGGGTTTGGTAGGCGTTAGCGTTTAGGGGGTTTGGGGGGTTTGGGGGGTTCGGGGGTCCTAAGACTCAGGATCCTTCCAATATGAAGGAGCAACTGGCCCCAGGACTCGCACTTCATGCTATGTGCCAGTAAACCTGATAGGTTATGCCCTGACACGTTCTACCAGGCTAAACAATGCATCCGAACTTTGCAACTTCCAGTCGTGCCTCCTCAGATTGGCCACTCCTCCCCTTCCTTCAAAGAAGCACGGTAACAGATGATGCATTTCCCAACCCTCCTTCACTTCTTCGGGCGAGATCTTGCCGTCGCTGTTGTCGTCCCGTAAAGCATAGATCTTGCCATCCTGCCAGAAGGATCATGGGACCGAGACTGTAGGCTCCAACTGGTGCGACAAGTTCGCTAGATGGGGATACCACATTGACTCCCTAAGCTCTAGACCCCAAGCCCTAAACCCCCCTGAACCCCAAAGCCTAAACCCTCTAAGCCCCCTGATCCTTGAAGCAGAACCCTGAGTTCTTAAACTTCCACTTGTGCGGCTGCGGACAGAAATCTCCGGCCAAGGATGTCGGCATTCGGCTTCAGGGCTGGGGTGTTTAAGCTCTTGGGATAGGGTTTGTAAGATGTTACATCCTTTTTTGAATTTGGTGTTAGGGGTTTCGAACTTGCTGGGGTTTGCTGAAGCGTTTTGGGCTTTCGGAGCTTAGGGTCTACGGTTCTGTCGCCCGAAATCCCAATCTCTAGCAGACCGAACCCTGTTTCCTCAGGGTTCAGGGGTGCCGGAGTCTAGGTTTCACGGTTTCGGATTCAGGGCTTTAAAGGGGGCTATGGGGGCCACTATAAGGGATCTACAAGGGTACCATACTATAGGGGCCTGAATAATTAGAATAGGGTTTTGAGGCTGAGGGTCCGGCTGGGTTTAGAGTTTACGGCCAGTAGCTCGAATTCATGAGAACCTCAGGCCCAGGGCCATGGGCATGTGGGGTATGGTTTCTATTCTTAGTATCCCCCTAATGAAACCCAATATATACACTCACCTAACCCTAAAAGGAGCCCTAACTACACTCACCAAAACGGTAATATAAACCCTACTTCATGTAAGTTCAATGACCTTTGCCTGAACTCAGCACTCTCGACCGGTACTTTCAGCCTACAGCTCAAGACACTAACTCCCAAGGGGCCTGAATATGCAGAATCGGGTTTGGGGATCATAATATACACCTACTTGTGGGGTATCCGGGGATCTAAAGGTTAACCTTTTTGGTTATATAGGGATTATAAAGGGACTATACTACCCCAAAAAGGTTAAAGGTTACCTATTCGACTACTAGGTATATTGAACCAGGAGGACCCGTAGCCATGCTCCTGGAAGGGAACGAAGGCAGTGCCCGCTCCATCGATCACGGGCTGCGCGTTGGCGTCGGGAAGGCAAACAGGCTCCTGGGCTTAACCCGAAACCCTAAAACCCTAAAAGGAATCCCATAGATCCCTTAAAGGAACCTCATAGATCCCTTAAAGGCACCCCATAGATCGAGAGTGAAACTGGTCCTCCCAGCATTTGGCACTTCAGCTGTGTCTTACGCAGCCGTGATGTTAGAGTGGTTGCTAAAGCGGCCTGAATGAGAAGTAGCAGGTTTCTCCTCAGAATCCCTGTAAGCTCATGCTTGGGAATATGCCTCGAACACTATTGCTAGTCTTAAGGTCTTAAGGCGCCCTGTACCGCCTTCGCAATGAAAGTCTTGCGCAAGCCCCCTATGCGACGCCGAAGGCTCGTTGTTGGGATTCGAGCCATTCCTTAGCAGTGGAGTTCAAGCCGTTTAAGCTTGTCTCTTTAGGGCTTGAAAGGGTTTTCTATTCAAGCCCACGAAAACAAAACATACAGTCCATACTCTCAATATTTAATGCGAAGCTTCTGCGTCGCCCGAAACCGTGCCAGGACGTTCTCTGAGTCTCCGGCTGCGGCAGGGCGCACGTACGGGTCCATCCTCAGCCCGAGCTACCCCCGGTTTAATGTTTACCTAGACCTACTAAACCCTACTTGTTTGTAGGTTCTTATTATAAACCCTAATATTGGATTTATCGGGACCCTGCAAAAAAGGAGGTTCTGGTAGGTTAAGGTAAGGTTTACGGCCTGAAACAAAATCCCGAAACTGCCCCAAACCTTGTGACTATGGTCCCCAAACCCGTAACCCAACGTCGCGAATGTGCGTTCGTTTGTGTGTGTGTGTGTGTGTCTATAAAAGCCAAAGCAAATCGATACATGAAGCAACGTGAAGCAACTAAAACCAGTGCATATATAGGTAGATATGCAGATAGCTAGATAGGATCGATAAATAGAAAGAAAGAGAAGTAAAGTTAGATAGATTGAAGAAGGGCAGGTGGATAGATAGATAGATAGATAGATAGATAGACAGGTAATACAAACACATCGAAAAATCTACAAACGGGATAAGCGGATAGACTGATATGCAGACAGATAGACAAACACATGGGTAGATGGATGCGCAGATAGGTAAACGGCTAACAAATTACAAACATGTACACGACCACACTCACACATCCACGCAATCATACCTAAACATACGCACATGCATATGCATTCACATGTACATACCTACCGACATACCTGCCTACGTATCTACCTACCTACCTACCTACCTACCTACCGACCGACCTACTTGCATACTTACTTACATACTTACACACACACACACATATTCAGTATGATTATTGCTATTGCTGTTATACGTATACGTATAAGCATACACAGACCTCTACATACACACATATCCACGCATGCATGCGTTGCATGCATGCATGTGTACATAGCCCTACGCACAGATGCACATTCGTAAATACACACAGGCATCCAGGCAAATAGTTGCACAATAGCGCATTCCATTCCAGCCCATTCCCTGCCCTTCCATTGCATTTCCTTACAGTGCATGACGTTGCATTGCAGTGCGGTACAGAACATTACAAGCACACTACGTTACACTACTTACAGTCATTTAAAGTATTTGCCTTGCATTACATTACACTGCACTGAATTGCACACACACACACAGACTAACTATGAAAACTCGGCACCGTACGACATTACTAAACGAACAGATTCTGAAGATGTTCCGGGCTGACCCTGTTTCTCCACTAATGTGCTCCCTTCTGAAGATCTATGCCGGAAGATTCCAAGGTTCCCCGGCAGGTGCTACTTGTAGCTCAAGTTCAGCAGTGTCCTACGGTTTGAGGTTCAACCCGAGCATCTCGTGATACCAGCGAACAGCACCACTTGCAGCATCCACGGCGAAGATCGCCCGCCGTTCTTTCTTCGCGAAGACAGATGGGAAGGAAAGGCTCAGCAAGTGGAATGGCAAGAAGAGTGGGATCACGATCGTTGGGAGTGATAGTGCAATTCTCGCGATGAGGGGCAGCCCTGGATTCTTGCCCATGCCGAGAATCCTTTCATGCAGGGAAGTAAACAGAGCCCTTGGGGTTTAGATGGGTCTAAAACATGTTGATGAGAAGCTGTAGGGCAACACAAAGCTCTACTATCGGCCCACACGAGGATCAAGGAGGTCTTGCCCGGGCTGCCAGCAAGCTCACCGACAGCTACTGCCTGGTTGCCCTCATGAGGGAGCTCCTGGAACATACACAGCCACAGCATGCAGCCCCATGTACCCTCTGCCGAAACCCTCATGCACCCTCGACGTACGTTGCGCCATCAACCGTAAACCCTAAACCGTCACCCAAGTCCTGGGTCCAGAGGTGGTGGCCATCTTCATAGTCGTAGACATGCAGAAGCCCAGCTGGTTCCTGGCCGACATTGCCTGTGCTCTTGTTAGGAATTCAGTCAAACTAAAGCGACCATAATAATTAAGCATCTAGTGTAAATGATAGGGTTTCCCGATTATGGTGACTTCCGAGTTGCTGACGGCGAAGACGCGCCCCTGGTGTAGCACGAGCGCCGCTGTTGTAGACGACTCCCTGTCGGGTGTCTTGGCATACCAGAGGAGCTTCCCATCTGTGGACAAACGATAGACGCCTCCTGTCCGGTCCTTCAGCAGCATTTTCGACCGTTCGGGCTACTGTCACATAGATAGAACTTCTCGCAGGCCTGTGCCAGGGAATGGAGAGGTAGCCTTATAATCTTGTGTCCTGACAGAGCTACCATCTCTCAATATGGGGGCAGTTTCACGATTTTACGATGTGAACAGCCAGAGGCCAGAGGGGCGCAACGTCAAAGCAACGCTGCCGAAGGAATTCATCATACACCCGTTGTGGCGCACACCCTAAGCCCCAAACACCGAAACCCAAAACCCTCATCCTGAAACACGAAGCTGCCGTCGTGGACCGTTGCAGCTTGGAAATTGAACCTCTACTGAACTTAGACCCCTAGCAAAATTATTAGTTCTAGCTGTTTCTTAGGGATGAAAGGAATCAAAAACAAATTTCAAGTACCCCTATACTAGACCCCCATAATACCCCCTATAGTAATACTTATAGACCCGCTATAAAAGGAACCCTGTAAAGGGAAAACCTATTCTAAGCACTCCTAAGGAACGTGGGACGGTATGGAGCGAAAGACCAACGGAAAGATCCATCTTCGATGCTCCTGGGATCAGGGTGGGCTTAAGGGCTTTAGGGTTTAGGGGTTTAGGGTTTTTCTTACAGTGGAAGCCTAAAATTTGGAAACCCAATAGCCTCAATCCTTAAGGGTAGTGTATCGGGAATCCCAGCAGTTTTTGACCTTGACCCGGTTTCGAGTTTTATGGGGATTACAGTAGGTGTAAGGACTTCTACCATATGGATGGTTGTCAAAATTATGGTCCCTTTTTGGGTCCCTAATATAATACGGCACCTAGTATTTAGGGACCCAAAAAAAAGATCAACATATTGACAACCGTTCATATGATATAGAAACGACCTGGGTGGGATTCATGAAACGAATCCGGCTTCATTCGGCCGAATGGTAAAGGGTTCTGGGGTATACAGAAGTATGTATAGTTATAGAGGGCCTAGAGGGGAAAAGAGTGTTTCTGACACCTTTAAATGTTCAAGTCTCAGTGCCATGAGCCGGCTATTCTCGATCACCTGCTGCGGCACCAGTGGCACCGGGTCCATGACCGAAACGATGATGAGCCTGGGCTTAGGGTTTAGCTTTGCCGGTCCTTGTAGGAGTTTTAGCATATTAGGGTTCAGGGCGAAGCCCTCTTTATAGTACCCGTCGTAGTAACCCTTAAACGACGCCCTTAAAGGGACAGATTCAAGGGGATCCTTTAGAACGATCCCCCAAGCAAGTTTAAGAGTTAGGGCTTCATGGCTATGTGGTTTAAGTGAGGTCTCCTATCCTTGCGGGCTACGGCTTACAACCTATATGGGGGTTTCCGAAAACAGGGGGTACCTGATTTTGGGGTATACTGAGGGTCCCCCATTTTCGGAAACTCCCATATTTATACCCTAGAACCCACAAAGACCGAAACCTCTTTGATACCCCAGACTCTACTTTAGTTAAAAACCCTTTCCGGGACTTATAACCCCACTTAGAACTGCCCATGAACCCCCAAGTACGGTGTACTAAAGCGATACGACTCGCGAAGTCAAGTCATGCTCTACAGGGGTCTGAGGTAGGATTGTCTGTGCTGTTGTCTATAGAGTTTTGTAGGGGCTTGAAGCAGGATGAAGGATTTCGCCGGGTCAATTCAACGTGCAGCCAGCTTTTTCTGGAGATTAGGTTTTGGGGATGTCATGTTGAGGAATGAGGTTCGACCGGAAAAGGGTGGCCCACCCAGGAAGGCCTCCCATAGACTGACCTTGCTTAAGTTGCATATAGCAACAGTAACACCCCGTATAAAACAACAGAACAAGCACCGAACATAAACCTCATCTGAAACTCCCCCCTAAACCCTAAACCCTAAACCCTAAACCCCCGCCAATGAGGAGCCCAAGAGCCCCTGTGTCAGCAAAGCGCAGTCTGTGGCTGTGGCCACCTGCTCCGCAATCTTCCTCGCCCACCTCGGGTGTTTTGGGAATATCTCTACGACTCTATCGGCGTTGAGAGGCTAAGGGGCCCTACATGTCGGATATCATAAGGAAATAAAGGGATTATATACGGACTGTACTACCCAAAAAAAGCTAAAGGTTACCTTCTCGACTTCCTGGGGGCCTTAGGGTTTAGGGAATTGGCGTTTAGAGGTTTAAAGGGTTTAGGAACGGGGTTTTTCAACATGATTAGGAGTTTAGCTGAAGGTCTGTGAAAGCAAAAAAACAGGGTACTGGTAGAGGTGCTTTCAAAACATAATTAGGACTTGATGATGCTTTACCAGGGCTCTACAAAGAGATTCAAACTCTGTTTTTCTAAACGGGAAGCCACGGACGGTCGTGCGACACGATTGACGTGCCTGAACGCCAACTGTCGTGAGAGTCGTGATGCAGGATCTGTGAATGAGTTGTCTCTGTCTGTTCACGTTCAAAGGAACTGCAATGCTGTTGCTGTGTTCAGAACACGACACTCAAGGAGTCTGGATGCCATAGCTGCCGAAATGCTGAAAACGAGCATGAAGTTGCCACAGGAGGAACTGCCCCGGCCCGAGAATCCTAAAAAAGCAGAAAACACAGAAAACAACAACACCCTACAGCTGTTCTCGAAAATTTCGGTCGCACGATGCTTGCGCCACGACCCTCGAGACACTGCCCGACCCAGAGCTAGGTTGCCACGTGGGGGCAAAGCCCACTCTAGGGCGACGAGTGCCGGAATAATAAGGACGATTAACTACTGCTTCCGCTACTGCTACTGCTGCTGCTGCTGCTACTGCCTGCTGGTTACTGCCCACGGCTTACGGCTTGCGGCTGACTACTACTACTGCTACTACTACTAGTGCTACTACTACTACTACTACTACTACTACTACTACTACCACTACTACCACTACTACTACTACTACTACTACTACTACTACTACTACTACTACTACTACTACTACTACTACTGCTACTGCTACTGCTACTACTACTACTACTGCTACTACTGCTACGACTACTACCAATGCTCCTGCTCCTGCTCCTGCCACTGTAGCATTGTGCCAGCAGAGTGCATCGACTGAGGGGGACTCCTGTACCACTTGCACCGCTTGCGAGGAGCAATATGACCAATTATCTTGGTAGTCTTGGCAATCTTGCTTCCATCCACCCCCCTGACCAAGATGACAAACATTACCAAGATGACCGCTCATCTTGGGACTGTGAGGCAGGTGTGGAGCAATGCTTAAAACTCTCGCAACAAAGTGTGGCAATCCTGCACCACTTGCACAACTTGGGGGGTGAGTGCTGGACTATGCTTGCTGCGTTGCGGAGCCCAGGGGAACAGGAGTAACTATCCGGGACCTGCTTTTAATGGTTACACCCACCCTGAGCTTTGCTCTCCATGGTCAATGTGGCTTGGGGCTCACCATCATGCAATCGCCACACTGGATTTTGAGCCCTGCGCCTTTCGGTCCCAGTGTCGATGTCGATGGCGATGAGGAAGCCTTTCCTGGCGAAAAGGCTGCAGGAACGGGACATGATTTCTGAATTGCAATTGCTGCCGCTGTCTGTCGCTTTGGCATGCTATGTGAATCTACTCTGATCTACTCTCCGACCGACACACAGCGTCGCATCGTTGCCAATCGAGGATGCCCAGTGAGCCAGGAAAAAAGGCTCCTTTCTTAGAATAAGGAACCCAAAACTACAAGAAGGGGAAATAAACCCACTGTGAGACCGAGTAAGCGGTAGCTCGACACCCCAGCTAGAGGTTCATGCTTAGTTGTGAGTAAGGATATAAGTAGAATCATGTATAATTACCACCCATACTCTCTACTGAACTTAGACCCCTAGCGAAATTATAGTTCTAGCTGTTTCTTAGGGATTCAAGGAACCAAAGATGAACGAAAATATTTCTAAGTACCCCTAAGCACTAAAAGGACTTACAAGCCCACCTGCTAATTGGGAGTTTCCGAAAACAGGAGACGCTACTATAGTACGCTGTATGATAGGATCCTTATTACAAGGACCCCCAAATAAGGTACCCCTAATTTTCGGAAACTCCCAATTACCCATGAACCTCCAGGCCTCGTCAGCAGCAGCATGACCGAATCCCACAGAGAGCCAACCCCAGGGACACTTCCTTTGCCTGAGCTGGGCTTTTAAGTAACCAGGGATAAAAAAGCATAAGCCTTTATTTCATAATTGTCCCTTTAAGAAAGAAGTATTAAAGTATGGTACTCCAATTGCTTTGCCTGAGCTGATGACTGCTGGCGGAAGCTTCTCTTCTACGGTTTAAGGTTTAGAGTTTTAGGGGCCCAGGATCCTGTTGAAAGGGTCAAAAGACTTTGTAAGCAGGACACCGAATCTCAGCAACCACACTTGTTGCTACTTGCAACCCCGATTGCGGTACTTTTCACAACATGTGGCCATACCTACAACTAGCGCGGAATCAACTCTAAATCCGAATACTATAGAACCCAACAGAACCCTATAAACCCAAATCAATCAGTGTAAGCGCAGGTGTGACAGGTTGCTGTCGGTGTAGTGCGTCCAGATCAGCTGTCCCTCCGCACTCAGCTTGTACGATCTTCCAGCCACCGTAGTTACGTAGATGTTCTTCCTGATTTGCAAGGGCTCTTTACGGGGTTTATGCAACCACTAAACCCAAAATCCTAAAACCCCAAACCCCTGAGCCCTTAAACCCAACGCCCTAAAGCAAGTCGCTGGCGGTCGATCAAGGGCGTGGCCCGGACGATGTCTCCGAACTTCTCCTGCCAGGTCCAACTTGGACCCTTAGTAATGTCTGGCATGACCTCGGATTAGGGTTTAGGGTTTAGGGGTTTAGGGTTTGAGGGTTTAGGCTTGGCGGACTAGGGTTTAGCGGATTCCCGCAAAAAGCCAGACTCATGACGGGTGCTAGCGTTCTCACCCGATCTGCAACCCCTCACTCACCCCATCCGATACGTCTCGCACAACGTGTCTTGCTCCACATCCTTGCGCAGTATGTTGTACAAAGAAGCACAACAAACTGTAAATACCAGTGTTTGGGGCATGGTCGCCAAAGGCATGCTAACCACCCCTATCGTGCAAACTAGCATGTAGGAGCAAACGTGCTGTGAATACCAGTGTTTTGGGTATGATCGCCAAGGGCAGCGCCATATTATACTCCCCCCTCACCCCCCATCCTCCTCCTATCGTGCACTGGCTCCGAAACGCATCAAAACACGAGTCCTCCTACGGACGTGTGTGGTAACTGGTACTACCACTGCTGCTACTACCACTACTACGACGACGACTACTACTACCACTGCCAGTACTAGTATTGGTACCAGTACTGGTACTACTAGTAGTAGTAGTAGGTAGGAAGGTGGTAGGTAGGAGGGTAGGAGGGTAGGGAGGGTAGGGAGGGTAGGTAGGGTAGGTAGGGTAGGTAGGGTAGGTAGGGTAGGTAGGGTATAGGGTAGGTAGGGTAAGTAGGGTAGGTAGGGTAACTAGGGTAGGTAGGGTAGGTAGGGTAGGTAGGGTAGGTAGGGTAGGTGGGGTAGGTAGGGTAGGTAGGGAGGTAGGGAGGTAGGGAGGTAGGGAGGTAGGGAGGTAGGGAGGTAGGGAGGTAGGGAGGTAGGGAGGTAGGGAGGTAGGTAGGTAGGTAGGTAGGTAGTAGTAGTAGTAGTAGTTGTGGTAGCAGTAGCAGTAGCAGTAGTAGTAGTAGTAGTAGTAGTAGTAGTAGCAGCAGTGGCAGTAGTAGTAGTAGTAGTACTACTACTACTCCTACTACTACGAATACTAAGGCTACGACGACGAATGATAATGGTAAATAATCACGGTAGTCCCTTCCGGTACAAGGGCCTGCCCGCACTCCCGCAGTGGGGCCGGGGGCGCGAGCGCGAACAGAACCGTTGAGGTTTAGGGTTCGGGTTGCATCGGAGTTGTGTCGGAGCATTTAGCGAAAGTGAGCCTTCTGAGCCAGTATGTCGAAAAAAGGATCCTTAAACGTAAGCCCTAATCGCTAAACCCGAAACCCCAATCCTTCCTTCCGGGCCTGTGGGTTCTTGGAAGCCTGTGTTAATCCACTTCTGCAGCTTGGCCACGTGAGGGGAATAGCCTCTCCTGTCGGACGTCCCCTTCCTCAGCCGCTACAGGAGCCTTTAAGGATTCTGTACTCACAGGGGCTTAAGCTTTAGGGGTATACTGCATACCGTCTACCTCAGTTACAAGTGAATGAATCTGACTCGACGAGGTGCCTGAACCAGATGGAAACGTTGCATGCTGAAGGTACATAAAGAAGCCATGATAAGGAACCCGAAAACGGTAGGTTTTTCAGGGTTTTAAGGTAAACCCTCAATGTAAAGCCCTCAAAGCCGAAAGCATTCCCTACTCCGTAAAACCCCCTCCCTTTCTCAACAAAAAGCTACTAGACCTAACAGTAACCTGGGTATAAAAACGGTGCCCTTTTTGGCTTAAAGGGGGTTATAAGGGAACCTGAACCCTTAAAAAGGGAATAAGGGCCTACTCTAGGTCCTAGACAAGCCCTGAGTGCGAGCGCTTTCAGAGCCCCTAAACCCAAAACCCCAAATTCAGAGCCCTCCTCCTGCCAAGGCTCTGAATCGGCCACAGGTGCTCTTGCGAAGCCACGGAACCCGCAGCGCAGCCCCCAGAAGACCCGGCCGCACAGGTCCCACCTTGGTTGTTCCGTTTGTTTTTTTGATTTCCTTTTTCCTCTCGGTTCGTTACGGTTTAAGGGTTTAGGGTTCAAGGGTATAGGGTTTAGGGGTTTAGGGTTCAAGGGTTTAGGGTTTTGGGTTTATGTGTTCGGAGGTTGATTAGGGCTTCGGCGTATTTGGGGTTTGGGTTTAGGGGTAGCTTTGTCTCACCTTCGGGTTTAGGGGTAGCTTTGTCTCACCTTCGTTGGGGGACGAATGGGGATACGCAACATGCAAATTTCAAAGCTTGCGCAATGCTAGATTGCGCACTGACCTTGTATCGTGGCAGCAACATCGGCTCGACCTGCCTAGTGCCCGGGGAATTTTGGGGTTTGATCGTTTCGCCACCCGAAACCCTAAATCCCTGAGCCCCGTACACCCTAAAACTCAGGCTCCGCCAAGCCACTGGCATCGCTGTCGGCATATTGAGCTTGCAGGCTCAAACAAGCAAGCAGCAAAAGCAGGCGCTTCCGCATGGCTCGCAACGGATACCAAGGCTCTCGGCCGAAGTCGAAACCCAGGACCCAGGGCCTGAAAAAAAGCCCAAAGCCTCGATTTGCACTGAGGGTGATATAGGGGCCTAAGTAGTTACCTCTACTATTTTTGGGGGGTTCCTTCTTTACACCTAACCCTAATATCGGGGCCAAAATAATTACCTATACCATTTTGGGGGCTCCTTCTTAAAATTCTAGTATCATGGGCCCCAAAACCCTATTCTGACTATCAAGACCCGACCCCTTTCTATCTTAGTTTCTGAGTTCATAAGCCCCCAAAAGTGTACACTTTCAGTTCGATAGTGGGTAATATTATCCAAAAAAGGGTAAAGTGTAGCCACTCAGCTATTAAGTTATTGCAGGGTTTAGGGCTCAAGGCCTGGAAAGGCCCGGCAGTGGGGCTGGGGCTGCGGAGCGACAAGGCAGGGCTGAGGACTCCCAAAACCCGGCTTTTACTTGGAGGGATCTAGAGGGTTCCTTAAAAGGATCTATGGGGTTTAGGGTTTAGGGATCTATGGGGTTTAAGGTTCAGGGATCTATTGGGTTTAGGGTTTAGGGATCTATAGGGTGTAGGGATCTATGGGGTTTTGGGTCTAGGATTTACTTGGAGGGGCAGGGGACTTAGCAAGTCGTTTATAAGTCAATTTATAATTGGTGGTAACTCCATTTAGGGTACTTAGAACTCTGCTTATAACCTACATACTAAGTGCCCTGCCCCTCCAAGTAGAGAAGCTTAAACCTGCTGTGCCTCGAAACCGCCATGAGCCGGGACCTGCCTACATTGAAATCTAGTGAAGGGCCGCAATGGGTGTCTGTACCTTAAGGACGGTAGGGGGATTTCTGCAAATTGTTCAGAGCCCGATAGTATGGCTGCAGCCTCAATCTGGCACATGCTGAAACTGCACGGGCGGGAACGTACCCAGTCTCAGAGCGTTGCCACGCCCCCAAGTGAGATAGGGAGTTTACGCAGCCCCCTTGTTCAAGAAGGCGAGTGACTCGCTAACCCCCGGAGCCTGGACAAAGCTCACTTAGCACCATCGACAGAGCTAGACTGCGGTATCGAGCATAGACGGCCTGCCAGGAGTGAGTGGAACAGAACGGCGAAGATGTCGTGGGTAACAATCTCGGAGACCTTGGACACTCCAAGCTTCTACACGAGCACCTAATTATGAAGCTTTGCTTGCCTTGCTCTTCACGCCTGCCAGTATCCATGGGAGACTAGAAAGACTAAAGGTTAACCTGTGAGATTAGATAGGCATTGTTATACCTCAAAAATGGTTAAACGGCTACCTACCCCACTACCAAGCCTCCCTTGCTTGTTTCGATAAGAAACTGATGCGGGAAGCTCTACCTCTCGAGTTTTGATCCAAGGAAGGGTCGGAGGAGATACCTGGAAAAGCAGTGCCGACTTAGCAAGTACGGTTAAGGGTTTACATGTAAGGAAATCGAACTCCTAAACCCTAAAGCCTAATGCACAAATACTGGGTTCGGAACTTGGAGAAGCGTCCATGGGACCATCCCAGAGAGCCCAATACCCGCTCCCATTGCTCCACTGTGCCCATCTCCTCCATGGCTGGCACTGGACCTGGAGCTGCAGAAAGAGTTGGCGCTACGACCGCCTTGGGACTCCATTCAGGGCTCAAGTCAGAAACGCGGCAAGCGCCGATCCGGTCCCGGACATGGTTTATCACCAGTTGCAAGCTGCTGTAGTTCTTGTAGCTGCCCAGCCATAGCTTGGACATCGCCAACAAGTCCCTGAAGCTTCGCACGTAGCCCGCCAGGGACAACCGGAGCCGCTGCAGTGCCAGGTTCTGGGTGTTGTGGTGGTGGCAGGCTGCGCCGAGCACCTGACCACTGAGTAGTTCCGTTTTAAGAACTACCGATCTCGTAAGATAAGCAAAAGACATCTGCCCAACTCACTTAATTAAGGAATATGCCTTAAACTACCCAGAGACTCCAATATCCCTTAATGAGCTTAAATTGTAGTAGGATCCCTAATAATATGATCTAAGGAATATTCCTTAATTAAGGGACATTGGAGTCTCTGGGTTTAAGGGGACGCATAATATGATTTTAGCTATATTCCTGAATTGAGGGGTATTGGACTCTCTGGGGTGTGCTAGCAAGTTGGGCCGAGCGCTCGCAACTAGCGCCCAGTGGGGTTCCAATTAGGTCCTGCGCTGGCAGTTAATATTATGATCCTGATGAAGCGACTTCTATGGGAGTTTCCAAAAACAGGGGGACCCTAATGTAGTACCCCACATAGTCGGATCCTTATTATTGTAAGGACCCCAAACATTAGGTACCCTAATTTCGGAAATTTCCATATCCTTCAAGTGGGGTTGAATCTCTATCACAAGCCGACCAATCGCAAAAAATCTATACCCTAAACCCTTAAATCCCAAACCCGACGCCCTAAATCCTGAACCCCTTGAACTAGGGCTATTGGGTAGCAAAGTAAGGAACCTAGGACTACAAAAAGGGAACAACGGTACTACTGGGCGTCCTAGTGAATTCTAAACAAGAAAACGCTTAACCCTAAACCCTGAAACCTAGAACCGCAACCCCACACATATCAGAGATCACCGTATTCTGTCAGCACCCGGCAGCCAGAGC